ATGCGGAGAAGCGGTAATAAATGAAGAGGATATAAAAGTTTTTCACTGTGATGATGCTCCTCAATCATCAATCAATTACCGGATGGCGAAATCTGTAGTATAATTCCAAATTCAGACAATACCGCTACAGACCGAGAGATGAAAAAATTTCGATTGACAAGTTAGTCGGAATTCTAGACACGGCAATTACAGGGCTTCAACAATGGAACTTTGCAACTGAATAAGGAATTATGTCTGTCTAATAAAATTAAAGAGAAAGTCGATTGAGTCGTTATGGAGGAGAGAATTTCTTAGTAAACTGGTTACCACATATCTTTTAGGTCTTCTCCCAGACACGCTGGTGTGATTCATTATCTATTTTATAAATTATAATATCAAACACTGTATCAGTTTAGGTAAGCGAAATGAAAGATAAGTGCGATAAGCAAGTCAAAACACAAGCGATACTTCAGCACGTGAATTTTAAATAAAATACTCGAATACACAGTTTAAAAGTTAATTTGTTCGGGCTTGCAACAGATCAAATTTTAATGGCCAAGTTGGGCATGATTATGTGAATAATAATCCCATATTCATTCACGCCCCGGATGAGCCGATATACAGGCCAAATGTGTTAAATCGTAGATATGATATTTTAAACTTCTTTATTTCCACAATCAATATTCCTATGCAGCTATTTGTGTTGAATGAACTAACTTCGAATCACGTGCCTGTGGTAACCTATCTTGGCGTTAGCATGGCTAAGCACACGCCGCCACTTCAAATCACCGATTGGGATTTATATTACAATACTCTGTTTACTTCTAATGTGGATTTTGATAATTTAAAATCTCGGTGTGACATTGATCATGCAGTAAATACCTTTACTGAAGATCTACATAACGCTCGTGCACAGACTACCAAAACTGCGGATCGCAACAAATATGAACATCAGCTCCCTAAGCACATGAGAGAAATTATCGCTGTTCGCAACAGATTGCGCAAAGACTTTAATCGTACTTGGGATCCGGCTACTAAGACTCCCACGAATCGACGCATTATGCAACTGATCATGGCACATAAAACAAACATCTGGAATAGCAAAATCTTAATCTGGATAGCAGCTCCATTTGGAACTATGTAAAAATGCCCAAGCGGAAAATCCTGCAACAAGCCCATCAGGAATGAGAGCGAGTTAGCCTACACAGATGAGGAACAATCCGAACTCTTCGCTAATCACCTGGCCGAACAATTCGTTCCAAACTCATTTCCTGTTAACCATGAATCTCAAATGCAAATAATTGATTACGTATATAGATGGATTATCGCGCCTAGTGCTATGAACGTCGCAAATCTGGTCACTCCTCATGAAATAAATAAAATCAGATCTCTCAAACCCCCAAAAGCTCCAGGTAGCGATGTAGTCAGCAATCTGATGCTCAAGAAGATGCTGTTCAAAACTCTCTGCAAACTCATATGTGTTTTGAACTCCTGTTTCTACAATGAGTACTTTCCACAGGCGTGAAAATATGCAAATATTTTCATTCCAAACCAGGAAAGGAGCTTGAAAATTCGGTAAACTACAGGCCCATTAGCATTAGCCTACTGTGATCTATCAGCAAAATTTTCGAAAGGCTCATATATAATAGATTGATCAACAACCTTCAGTGCTTAGCGGATCATCAGCATGGATTGAGGAAAAAACTCTCTATTTCGACCCAGCTCGTTCGCCTCAGTGAATTCATAAGCTCGGCTATCCACAATTAAAATGAGTGTTGCAATCCTGATGCTAGACGTGGCAAAGGCTTTTAACCACATCTGGCATCCAGGTCTGCTCTACAAACTTATCAGATTTGACTTGCCTTGTGAACTGGTTTTGCACATAAACTCTTTTCTCGAAAAGCGCACTTTCACTGTCAAACAAGGAAAGGCGATTTCTACCGTAAAGAATATCCTAACTGGCATTCCGCAAGCAGAGGCGTAGCTAGGGTTTACAGCGCCCGGGGACAAATGAAGAATTTCCGCCCCTTTCTGCGTGCCAAGAATGGAAAACATTTCATTTTAAAATTTCGTAACATCGATTTGCGCCCCCTGGATGCTGTGCCCGAGGACAGATGTCCCCCCTTGCCCCACCCTAGCTATGCCACCGTCCGCAAGGGCCTTTTTTATCCTTGGGCCTTTATTTTACATACTTTACGTTAACGATTTCCCTAGCTTTCCAAACGACGTTAACATTCTTCTAGCCAGTTACATCGATGATACTTATACAATTGTTTCCAAATTACGTCGACCGGACCATGCTCTGGCCAGGCTGCAAGAGAAAATTCCAGCCATAGAAAAATGGTGTGGTTTTTGGAAAAGCAGCATTCAGCCCTCAAAATCTAAAATTCTTCTCATTAGGAAGTATCGTAGACTCGACCAAATTAAAACTCAAGTCACACTTTTTGGCTCCCCAAGGGTCAACAAAACAATCTACCTCGGAGTTATCTTCAATAGTAAATTCTCCTCATGGAACGGTCACGTGATCCAAATATGTCGAAAGGCCTACAAAATTATGTTCAGACTGTTCCCACTGTTAAAATGGGAACAGCTATTTCTGCATCTGAAAAAGAGACTCTATCTTAGGTCATTCGACTGATTCTCATATACGCTTTCCCTGCCTGGGCAAACGCAAAAGACAAAGACTGCAAAAAACTTCAAGTCCTTCAAAACAAGTTTTTGAGAATAATCACCGGAGCTCCCTTCTTCGTCAGAAATCGTAGTCTGCACTCGGATTTAAACTTAGAGCAAATTCAAGATTTCATTAATCGCATCAATGAAAAAGTCTTCAACAGAACGATCAGCTACAACCGGCTAATTTCGCTAATTTCTTAAATTACGAAATACTTGATGGAGATAGACTTCTTCGCCCATTCGCCGCTCACTTGTTACAGTCTACCTAAACCGACCAAAGAGAGCTCAACTTACTCACTCAATGGTTTGCTAGCTCACCAAGTTTCGGTTTCTACAAACCTCTTCATGTGTCCGGACAGCTTTCCCCACTTCCCTGTCAGCAAGCCGTATCTGGGGCTTCTGCAGTTGTCCCAGACATGGCTTGCTGATCTCCGAAGCTCATGGCTTCAATTTTCTATTGCTTTTTCAAGGCTATCTCAACAGGAGAAGCTTCATTTTTGGACTTTTACATATGTCAGACCCTAAGGGGACTCATTTAGGTATCCGGAAAGAGCAGGAGTAGAGAGTAGTGCATCTCCCGCTGAATGCCAAAATAACCAACAAGGTATCAAAGTATCATCTGTTTATACAGTCAAAGTTGTTAATTCGGTTACCCGTAATCCGGAATGATCTATAATACGGACCTCAAAGCTACAAACTTTCTGCGCATGCGTCGCGTTGACGCATGCGCATAGGCGTTTACGTGTGCGCGTAAGACCTTTACGGCTGCGAATATGCATGTGCGCGTGCGCATAAAACGTTTACGCATGCGCGTTTAATGTATAACGGACGGTATAAGCTAAGCTAAAATGATCTAATTCAGTTAATTTGCAGATTGCGTTGTTCCTTAATCTTCGAATTGGATCCGGCTTATTATTTTTTGCAGACTGTTAGAGCAGTTTTATAAAAGTAAGCTTGAGCTTTCGATTATATCAAATAGAATTTCCGATATATATTTGTTAATATGTAAAGGTTCTAAAGCGAAAGTATGTTTCGAAATCCGAAATCTGTTATCAATTTCACGCTGCTCGGCGGGGGGAACGCCGCGGCGCGCAATGAATTGGATGTTGATCTGTCAGCACTATCCTTATCCTCAGGGCAGATGTTCTTATTTTATTTGGCTTATAATTCCTTACTAAATGTAGTATTTCATCTCGATGTACTCCGTCTTTGATATGATTTAAAACAAGTTCCTCGTCATTATAAATCGCTTCCAATAGTGAAAAAAGTGACAGAGGTTATTGAAAACGAAAAAATTTCGATTGACAAATTAGTCGGTATTCTCGACACAGCAATTATAGGACTTGAACAGCGGAACTTTGTAACTAAACAAGAAATTATGTCTGTTTGATAGAATTAAAGAGAAAGAATTATCACATGAAACGAAGCAATTGAAACAACTTACATTGAAAGAAATGTTTAATAAAGTAAACAAATAAATATTAAGCTTTTTCTTTTTGTAAATTTTGTTAAACTTTAGATTATAATTGTTCTTTATTTCATAAATTACGGTTTCATATTTTTACTTTTGTAATTTCTGCATGCCATCTTACCAGATTTAAACTGATGATCTATAATCCGGAAAAATCGATAATCCGGAATCGCCGAAGTCTCGAGGAGTCCAGATTAACGACTTTTGACTGTATTTCATAGAAGTGTCAGCATTTTGAAGAATTTTTTAATTTAGATATTTCAGCGAACAGAATGGAGTAATCTCGACCATCCGGAAGATAGACAAGGTCTAAATGAGGCCTCATTCAATTAAACAGGTTGGTTGAGAACCTACACCAACATTTTACAAATGAAAATTTTTATTTAAATTTATACTTAGAAATGAATCTGCCACTTGCGTATTATTTCCATCTGGAAAACGGGATCGCGGATAATACGATTTTCATTTTCACAACCTTGGAAATAAAACTCTCATCTGCCGCCGTCGCCAACAACTATATTTTCTTATTATTAGTCACACGAGCAATCATATCGCCGATGCAAAGGAAAATCTAGCAAACAGACTTTTTAAAATTACGGCGTTTCGTTTCCGAGGTTGTCTATCCTTTCTGTATGGGGGCAGGAAAAAAGAACCAGACCTCCCAACCTTATCCAGAATAACGATTGAGCTTCCCAAGTGTAACATCAACTATTTACTTCCTGTGTTTTCGTACATCTTTGGACGCAGTGTCACGCAGAATTCTGCGCGGAAATTTTGAAGTAGCTGGTATATTCCTTTAAAATTTTGTACTAAAATTTAACTTCTTGCATCATTTAAAGCCATTTATAGGATAATTACGTAAGAACAAGTATACGTACAAATGAATTGTGCTTAAAACTAAGCAGACGAAAATTTTGTGGGCAATATTTAGTTCTTGTCATTGCAGAATTTTACTATTAAACCTAATTTCGGTACAGCTGTCGATATTGTGATTTCACCATCTCATTCTTTCCGCTGTGTTTAAGTTCAATGATATGAGATACAATGTTATTATTTTATGCTTTTATCGTAAACGGGGAAAAGATAATTATAAATAAAAGGTGTATATGGTTCAAGAATAACCTGTATTTTCTTTGATCCGTCAGAAATTTCTATTAAGAATTTTGTGGAAAAGAAGCTTTGCCTAAAGTTTTTAATGACAAGTTGTATAAAAAGCTATTTAATCAATTTTTATTTTTGAAAAATCGCTGTTAAGGTTATGGTGCATGATGGTTAAGCTTGCATGATGAGGAAAGGGAGTAAGACTACAAACTTTAAATATGTTTTTCTTCGAACAATAGTTTTGAAGATTTGCAATCTGGACATTGGGCCTTTGATATTGTTTAGGTGTGTATTTCAAAATTACCTTTCTTATTTAGGGAATTAGAAAGCTGTATGATTTATTAGTCCATGACTAGCATCCAGGAATTAGAACAAGAATATCAGATGCTTTCTATAAAATAAAATTTAGGGTTTAGACACATTAGCTTACAAACTGGAGAATGAGGATGGTTTCTTCTTGTACAAAGTTAATTATGTGGAAATATCTTGGTACTTCCTTGTTATGGTAGCCTCCAAAATTGAATCACTAATCGATCGAGATATCTCGCCATGTGTTCTTGTACTTAGCTGCACGTTACATCTTGGTTAAATATCGATTCAATTTTGGGGGCCGCTATAACAAGAAAGTACCAATATCTTTATATCATTAGTGTATAGGTAAAAAAAAATAATGAATGGTGAATAATGGCTAGATGGTATGTGAAATAAAAATAATTAATAGTTACTTTTTTATGCTACACATGAACATGACAATCCAGAATGTTACAAATTCAAGTTTTGAAGATTATTGAGAATATATTTTATTACATCTTTCAATGCTGAAATTGCAACATCAAAAATGTTAAGGTGAAAATTTGAAGGGTTAGCTGACCTGCAAATGATCAAATTTTTAAGTGTCTGACTCCAATCAGTAACATATAACATAAAAGCCTGATCAAACACATCTGTTTCCTCTCCTGCTTTATCAGACTTTAGAAATCGAATTAAGTTTTGAGATTTGATAGCATGATGTTCCAAATTCATCAACATGCAGCCAGTCACCAGTGAAGACGGATAGAATCCTTGAAATTGGAGATGTTAATTTGTCACTCTGGCAAATCATTCTAGACTTAAACTGAAGTATTAGCACTGTTGGACATTATATAGTTCAGTGATTGCAAAAACAATGAGAAACTCAAATGGTAGCAAGTGTTACCACTTGCTATCATTTGAGTTTCAAAACAGAAATTCTGCTTGGTGGATTGCCAGTTTAGATCAATGATGTGTAATAATACTTACCTTACTGCAAATAAACTTGAATCTAACATGCTTAACTGTAGAGTTCCTGCAATGTCTACTTAAATCATCAGAAACCACTTGCACTAGAATTGGGTTCATTCGTAAAGAACGCCTGTGAGCCAGTGTTCAGTGTGATAATATTGGGGTACGTGTGCTTTTGTGGACTTTATATTTTACTGTGGCCTACTGCATCTCAGGATTTTCCTCCCATGTGAGACTTCATTGGTGAGCTATTTGTAATTTGATATAAATTTGGCAATTTTGATGCTTTATATGCGCAGTTCTGGCAGCATGCAAAACATTCCTCAGACATTTATCAATAACGGTGATAGAATGCCAAGACATATAAATAAATGTATTTCTGTGCATGGCAATCTTTTTTTTTTTTTTTTTTGCCGGAATAGATAGAGATGTTTTGAATTTTTTTATCATTTGTGTATGATTAACATGCCTGTTCATTTGTTTCAGTGGCGTAGCTACGATTCCAGCGCCCGGGAACAACTGAAGAATTTGCACCCCTTTATGTGTGCCAAATGGGAAAACATTCCATTAAAAAATTTCGTAGCATCAATTTGGTGCCCCCTGGATGCTGCGCCCGGGGACAAAATGTCCCCCTTTGCCCCACCCTAGCTACGCCACTGATTTGTTTATATGCCTATTAATACTGTGACTTCCTAATTTTTACGGTGTTGCATTTGCATTGTTGAGCAGTTTATATTTTCTTGATTATAATTAAAAAATGACTCCTTCATTTTGTACCTTGATTATTTTTCTTCCAATACACATCAAACCTGAAATTCGATACTATAAAAGCTGGCAGAATATTTCATGCGTAATGAATAAGAAAGCCATCCTCCTGTACGGAATTTTATGGCCATAGCACTGAGAGAGTTAAGCAAACTGCTTGCCTGTAATGTTTAACTACTGTAAAATTGCAAAAATTTGTAACTGCTTTATAATGAACATTGTATTTGAATTGCTTAGCTGTTAATATTTTTTAATTTTTTTATTGAATTAATTTTTTTTTTTTTTTTTTTTTTTGACATTTGGTACTTTTTTGTTATCGGGACTGCATTCAGAAATGTGTGTGTATACCTGTATGTATGGATGTATGTGCTGAAGTATGCATGTATATATGTAAGTACATAAGTATATATGTGGACATGTGTATGTGGGCTGTAAAAACTGTATGTACATATATGCGTGTTTATATGCACACACATATATATAAACGTGCATACATGTATATATTTCTTAATCCGGTCGCTATAACTATAGAGCACCAGATATTTTTATAACTGCCTATGAATTTTTTGGGTAATGACTACTGTAAATGTGTAATTCAAGTGCAAGTTTTAAAATAAGCTGTTCTTTTCTGGACTCATTTTTCATACATAAAAGATAACTCTATATTCCTGTGACTGCAAAAAATCAAATTTGATAATTTTAATGAGCATGTTTGCTTCTGTCAGTACAGACTGTAGTTTCTACAGCATAAAGCATGATTAAAAAATGCAATAAAAGCCTGACTATTTGGCATTGAACTAACCAAAAAGCTCAAGTAACCAAAACATTTTATAAGTTAATTTTTTTAAATCATTCCTTCAAAAAAATTAAGCAAATGGGAGACTTGCAAAACCATCATAAAGCATATGGCGGAAATCATTACAGTTGGTTATATTTGCTGAGCGATATGCATATGTGCTCGCCGTAGCATGAGGATAAAATCTTGAATTTTTCCATCTAGACTCGCTGCTTACTTTTCGCCTTTTTTCCCCCCATTCACGTCTGATGTTTGCTGTCCGCTGATGTGTGTTAATGTTTAAATATTTAGCTCTTTGGAGATGTGATTTCGTTTGATCTGTTACCTGAAGTTTTTGTGATTGTTAGGCCTTTGTGATGACTTTCTGATGGATTCTAATGGTGATAAAACATCACCATAAACATGTATAGGACTCTCAAAACCCTGCTGATAACTTCTAAAATGTTAATAGAATTACATTGTTCTGCTTCAGAAGACATTGCTTGCACCCTTACCATTGTATCCAGCATATTGTTCCAAGAATTCATCCTTGGAATAGAATACACCTCACAGAAGAGGAAACATGAGGAATTACTATCAAAGAACTTGTAATGGGAACTCTCCTTACTATGTCTTTGTTACTATGGCATGCAAACACATAAGAAATTTCAAAGTTTACAATACATATTCAGTTTGGCTATCACGATCACTATGATCTCCAGTATGTTTAATAAGGACTGTAACTAAAAAAAGTCTTTCTAAAACTAAAGCAAAAAACAAATGGCAGAACAAAATTAGAAGTTTCATTGGAATTACTAAAATAACTGCATCGTTGGAACTTTACGGTATTGCAAAGTGGAAGCAAGGGAGTTAACTTGCAGCCTTTGAGTTTTTTTTTTTTATAATATAAGAACTTTAGCAGTTACTAGAATAACAAGACTTTTCGGTTCCATTAAATGCATTTTGGGCAAAACTTTTATAATTTAACATACTTTCTCAAACAAAAACTGTTACCAAATAGTGTGATTTTAATGCCAGTGATGTAGTAGCATAATGTCACAATGCAATCCTAAGATATTCTCCTTCGGAATGTGTTTTAGTTTTATGTAACTACATAATTTCTTAATAAGCCAGTTTAATTTTTTTAAAGAATATATAACTGTTATTTATTCACTTCCGCTCACAGTTTGAAAAATGGTTACAATTTGCAATCTCCATTGTATGAAACAGCATGGACTATTTTCATAGTTATGGGATCCTGCATAAGGAAAAATGTGTTTCTATGGCCACAATGTGCAACTTTATTTGAAGACAAATAAGCAATGACAATTAAACATAAAAAATTGCGAATTAGATTTTACGATAAATCCTTGATGTGACTCTTATTATTCTAATTACATAAAATATGATATTTTGTCTTTAAGCTTCTATTGGAATGAATGGGACAAAGTTTGAGGAACTTTGCCAACTTTCGTGGTTGACGGCATTTTATAATTGGATAAGATGTTTTACTTTCATATATTGAAGACCTACGAAATACACTTTTTTTTAAATTTACATCATTTTAAATGTAGGTTTTGTTACTCAAGCTGGTAATAAACAAGATGACTGTTTTTTATGATTTTAACCCAGAAATTTCTTTCTTCGTTCTCATGGCTTTTCTATCGTGAAATGCTCTTTGTATATGCTCAACTATCCGAAATTTTCACATATTCGGAATGGGGCATTTCTGGAGTATTCTGAATAGTCAGGCTTTTTAATGTACTTTAATTTTTATTTCAGGTAGTATAAATATGACTAAGGGGTGGTTTTAAGGAGGGAGCCAAATGTAGAGGGGTATCACACTGAATAATAAAGTTTTTTTAAATCACCAAAACATCTTTCATGAAATATTCTATTACAATTTTGCTATTTTTTTGTTTATAGTAGAGGGCACTGAAGAAAATTTCACATAAGGCTCCCCAGAGCAGGCAAAATTTTTGAATTTATTGATGCTCTGAGCAGTATACTTGAGGAGTGACAGAATTTGTAGAATTCAGGGACAGAATACCAGGCAACAGAATTTAGGACCCACAGCGATTGCGCTAGGCAGCAGAATAGCACCGATCCTGTCTTTATGTAATAAGTTATGTGAGGTTTATCTATTTATTTTTAACTAATAGTTAATTTTAAGTTTTAGTACCTTCCTATCACTCTCTTTTCATCCACGCTTTTCATGCCAGAATGTAAATGAGTTAGCGAGTGTTTATTCAGGTTAAGGTAGAAAGAAATGCTATTTAAGCAAGAGTTTTGGAAGTTAGTTTTAGAGTGTGTCTACCTATTCCAGGCCACATTGTGCCGTGATTATTAGCAATTTGATTCTGTGGCATTCAGTGCTTCTATCTGGCTTGTCTTGCTGGTTTTTCTACAAACCAGAGCCTTTCCTGCACATTTAATTATTCTGTGAGCCGTTAGTCTAATCTATTACATTTGAATTTGTTCAGTG